CACACACACACACACANACACACACACACACGCACANACGCACACACACATACACACACATACGCACACACACACTAATTTACTACGGCCAGTTTAGTTGATCAATTCCCCGATAGCGCATGTGTGGAAACCCACACCAACACAAGGAGAACATGCAAACTCCACACAGAAATGCCAACTGACCCAGCCGAGGCTCAAACCAGCAGCCTTCTTGCTGTGGGGCCACATCTCTCGCTTCTGCGCCACCGCGTCACCTGAGTATTGAAATATTGTACAATAGAGTGATTATTCTGTGTAAATGTTTAGACGTTTCCTCATCCTCCTCCAGCGTTCCCTCACAGCTGTATTTCTGTATTTTTCTAGTGGTTCCCATATCGAGAACTGGCACTCGGTTCTGAGGAACGGATTGGTCAACGCCTCCTATACTAAACTGCAGGTATGTAAATGACATCAGTCAGCTGACATCAGGCACAGCACCCGATTGGACAGCTCGTGTTCTCAGTGTTCAGCATATGATCGTTCTGCATTTCTGTCTGGAGGCTCATTCAGCAGCCCACATTATATTATACATACAGTGCTTTAGTTTGACTTTTTCCACCAGCACTGATTCCAGAGATGTTTTTTCCCCTTTCATTATTATCATAGAGATTTAGACAAGCTAGCTCTCGGTAAACCTCACATGGTCACCAACTGAAGCTAAGCAAAACTGCGCCCGGTCAGTAGCTGGATGGGAGACCATACGGGACCACAAGGTTCCTGCTGGAAGTGGTGTTAGTGAGGCCAGCAGGGGGCGCTCAACCTGTGGTCTGTGTGAGTCCTAACGCCCCAGTATAGTGAAGGGGACATTATAGTGTCAATGAGTACTGTATTTCTGATGAGATGTTAAACTGAGGTCCGGACTCTCTGTTGTCTTAAATAATCCCAGGATGTCCTTCGAAAAAGAGTAGGGGTTTAACCCTGGCATCCTGGTCAGATTTGCCCACTGACAAATCCCATATTTTGTATATATATATATATATATATATATATATATATATATATATATATATATATATATATATATATATATATATATATATATCCAGCTCTACCTATTAACCAAACCCACCCACAAACTCCCACCTTCATCCCTTACTAATTGCTTTGCAGACATCAAATCCTGGTTTACCACAAACTTCCTGAAATTAAATGACAATAAAACTGAACTTCTCCTTATAGGTACATGATCCTCTTTAAATAAATCACATAGCTTTTCCATTCCCACAGAGGATTCTGTCATTACCCCCTCCCCTCAGGCTAAGAGTCTGGGGGTCATCTTCGACAGCACCCTTTCATTCACTGCACATGTTAATAATGTCACCCGGTCCGCCTATTTCCACCTTCCAAATATAAATCGTTTACGTCCTTCCCTCACACCTCAGTCAGCTGCCATTCTTGTTATAAATATATATAAATATTATCATTTGTTTTATTGCTTTGTTAAAAAAAAAAAAAAAGTTTTTATCACTTTAATAAGTTATTTCTATTTGAAAAAGAATAATAGTTTTCCAGCAGGGCCAACCATTTTGAAAGTAAAATAGTTCTGAGGAAGAAAATAAAGCTCATTCATGCAGTATTCTTACTGCTATTTAATGATATTTGATGCATCTAATAATGTAACTTTTGTGCATCTGATGGAAGAAGTCTCATTGCTTTCAGTTCATTTGGCCGCACTGCTAATCTAACCCTGCCGGTTCTACGCCACCCAACCCACTCCGAGCTGTGATTGAACCGGCGACCTTCTGCATGGGAGTTGGTTGCTCTACCAAGGAGGCTAAAGACCATGGCCTCTAGTGTCTGTCGCTACAGCACCTTTAGAGGTCAGAGGAGTGAGGTTTACCTGCACAGCACACACTAGCTGGTCTCCATTACAATCACCCCCCTAAACCTTACTCCTATCCGGGTCACGGCACCAACATAGCCCCACCGTTCCTGTGCCACAAAACCCGCACCGAGCTGTGATTGAACCGGCGACCTTCCGCATGGGAGTCAGTTGCTCTACCAAGGA